GGCCAGTTAACTGTGAAATAGCAAAAGGGAAAAAGAAGGAAATATTGTTTAGCAATAATGTTTACTCAATTATTTTTGTTTTACTGTCTTGTTACATATTCTTACTAATCAAGAATAGCTTTCATTTTTCAAATGATATACCTTTTGGGTATAATTTAAACTGAGTAAAATTTGCCCTGGCAGGAAAGTCTGTGAGACTCTTAGCTCCAACTGACCACCAGGAAGATGAAAGTGGGGCTGTGGCTCATGTGGGAGAGTGCAATCCTTGAGTTAAAAAGCTCAGGGACAGGGCCCAGGCCCTGAGTTCAAGGCCCTAAACAGGTATACAGAGAGAGAGAGAGACAGAGACAGAGAGAGACAGAGAGACAGACAAAGACAGCGAGACAGAGAGACAGAGACAGAGAGACAGAGACAGAGAGACAGAGAAAGACACAGAGAGTACAGACCTGTATGAAAATTGTAACAGCTTTATTATATAAAGTGTAAAATTTGGTAAGTTTTAACATATATAGATATCCCTGAAATCATCACCATTGTCAAGATAACAAATTTGCTCATCCCTTCTAGAAGTTTCCTGCTTCTTTCTTTCTTTGCATTCTGGTACTGGGGATTTGATGTCAGGGTTCTTGGCACTTGAGTGGATCTTTCCACTCAAAGCAGGTGTCTTACTGCCTGGGCCACACCTTCATTTCCTCATTTTGCTGGTTAATTAGAAAGAAGAGTCTCTTGGCTTTGTTTTCCTGGGATGTCTTTGAACCAGGATCTTTAGATCTCAGCCTTCTGAGTAGCTAGGATTACAGGTGTGAGCCACCAGTGCCAGGCAAATGTGCTGTTTCTTGGCAATCTCTTTCCCATCCTTGTCTACATCCTTCCTCTCTGCAAGCATTCATGTCATTATACTTTGTATGTTTAGAATTTTCTGTAAGTAAGTTCACATGGTATATATTATTTTTGGTCTGACTTCTTCTCATCAGCATGATTGTTCTGAGTTGGGAGGTGGACATTTGCAATCTAATTTCTGAGTCACATCCCATCACATACACACATGATCATTTCTTGACTTATTCACGTATTGGTAAGTATGCTTTGTAGAGCTGCTTTGAACATTCACAAGTAAGGTATTGCATACTTGGTTCATTTGTTTTTTCTTGGTGTTGGTACTAAGGCTTCAACTCAAGGCCTGGGAGCTCTCCCTGAGCTTTTTTCTCAAGGCTGACACTCTATCTCTTTAGCTACAGCTCCACTTCCAGCTTTTTGATGGTTGATTGGAGGTAAGAGTCTTAAAAGACATTTCTGCCCAGGCTGCCTTTGAACCAGAATCCTCAGATCTTGGCTTTCTGACTAGTTAGGATTACAGGAGCAAGTAACCAACACCTGGCTTAACTCCCTCTCACATTAAATTACATTCCTATACTTGAGTTTTGAAATTTTCTCTATATCATTGACATTCATCCTTTTTTCACAAACAAGACCTGTGGTCTATGGTTGGTCTTTACATATTTCTAACAGCATGTATTATTTGCAAAAGTTTATAGTTTTCATTGAGGTCCAACTTACCAATTATTTTATAAATATAAAATATTACTTTAGCCTATAAATACTACTCTACCTTTTTTTTAAAAAAAAAAAAACAGTAATAGCTTTGATTCAGCTAAAATAGCCTAAGTGATGCCAATAAACACATCTACTAAATAGCAAGAACTTGTAAAATTGAAGTTCATTTCTTGATGACATTATAAGTAAAGCATACATTACCAGAGATCTATGTTCACAACATAAATTCAGGGACCCAAGATAATGAGGAGATCTTCATCTAAACAGTGGGGAAGAATTATGAAGAACTGAATCTTTATCCACATATGACACATGCTACGTATATTCACTTTGTTTTCCCCAAAGCACATCATAGAGAGATCTTATTCAGGAAACAATCTTTCATACTTTAGTTTGTTTTTATTTTTTGATTGTCACATAAGATTTATAAATACTATAGCTAGGCACTGGAGGTACATGTCTGTAATCCTAACTACTCAGAAGGCTGAGATCTGATCATTGCAGTTGGAAGGCAGTCCTGGCAGGAATGTCCTTGAGAATCTTATCTACTATTAACTACCCATAAAAGCCTGACCTGGAGCTGTGGCTCAACTGATAGAGTGCTAGCCTTGAACACAAAAGCTCATGGACAGTGTCCAAGCCCTGACCTTAAGCCCCAGGAGAGGCATACATGTGCACATGCCCACACATACACACACACACACTCACACACAAATTATAAAAAAATAGAATATAAGATGATTAAATCAGGATATTTAATAAACCCATCACTTTAAACTTTCATTACTCCTTTTAAAAAAAATTTTATTGTGAAAATACTGTACAGAGGGGTTACAATTACCTGAGCAAGATAATGAGTACATTTCTTATCAAGCATTGTTGCCTCCTCCTTTGTTTCCTCTTACCATCCCTTCCCATCTCCCCCCCCCCCCAACTTTTATCACTTCTTTATAGTGAATATCATTAAAACTCCTTTCTTCTTGTTACTTTGAAATATATATATATTTGTTTATGTATGTGTGTGAATATATATATGTACATATATGCTTTTGGTTACTGGTGGCTCATACTTCTAATCCTAGCTATTCAAGAGGCTAGATGTGAGGATCATGGTTCAAAGCCAGCCTTCAGAGAAAAGTCTATGAAAATCTTATCTCCAATTAACCAGCAAAAAATACAGAAGATGATGCAGGACTCAAGGGATGGAAAACCAGCCTTGAGCAAAAAGCCAAGCAATAGTACAGAACCATGGTTCTCAGATCTCAGCCTCCTGAGTAGCTAGGGTTACAGGTGTGAGCCACTGGTGCCTGGCTCAATATGGATTTTTATCATTTATCTATACTATTGAATACCAAGCAAAAGATACCATTTTCACCTAAATAATGCCTGTTCTTTCTCCTTAGTTATGGGACTCAGAATATTTATAAGGAAAATCAGAATTAAAAAAAAAAACTTGAACTTTCTTTAGTTCCACATGAATTTGAAGAGCATGGGCTTAAATTTTTAATAATTAGAAGTGTTAGGTCTTACTTTATCCTACAAACCTTATCATCTGGAAGGACTAGATGAGATGGGCCCCGGAGGCTCACACCTGTCATCCCAGCTACCCAGGAGGCTGACACCTGAGGATCTAGGTTTGAAGCCATCCTGGGCAGGAAAGTCCATGAGACTCTGATCTCCAATTAATCACCCAAAATCTGGAAATAGAGCTGTCGCTCAAGTGGTAGAGTGCTGGTCTTGAGCAAAATTCTCAGGGACAATCCCCAGGCCCTTAGTCCAAGCCCTAGTACTGACACAAGAAAGAAACGGGGGGGGGGGACAGAGACAGAGAGAGGGAGAGGGAGAGAGAGAGAGAAAGTGGGAAGGAAGGAACGAAGGAAGGAAGGGAGGGAGGAAGGAAGGAAGGAAGGAAGGAAGGAAAAGAGCCAAGGCAAGGGACTGCTGGGTTCACTGGCAGCACATTGGAAGGAACAAGCCTACACATCTGAGTATAAAGTATGTTGTGTAGGTTTTATGGAGCAATCTACAAATACACCCTGCTTAAAAAATGTGCATTGTGTTTACAATGTGACATTTGTCATCTCAACACGAACCAATTAGAATCCAGACAGAGAAAGGCCCAAATGCCTGTGTTGGAATTTTCTGTAAGTAAGACTCACTGGATAACAAAATGTGTTTTGTATCCCTAACGTATGCAGCGAATCCTAAACACTATTATATTTACATTATAAAAGGAAATAATTCATTTAACATATATGCAGCAGTGGATAGGTATCTTAATCTTTTCTTTTTCTTTCCTGGTCCTGGGGCTTGAACTCAGAGCCTGAGCACTGTCCCTGAACTCTTTTTTGTTTTGTTTTATCCTTGAAGCTAAAGCTCTACCACTTGAACTTTACTTCCAATATTTTGCAGGCTAATTAGAGATAAGAATCTCACCAGTTTTCCTGCCTGGGCTGACTTTGAACCTTGATCCTCAGGTCTCAGCCTCTTGAGTAGCTAGGATTATAAGGGTATGCCACTGTACCCTAGTAAGGCACCCTAATCTTTATGGGATAAATCCTATTATTGCTGATGGTTTCCATGTCATATTTTTCATTTGTTTTTTTCCTACTACACAGAAACTATTATTCTTAACGTTATCTCTAAATCATTGCATAAGGGGATTTCAGCTCAACTCATCAATTTATGAGCACCTATGATCAATAACCCCCCTTCCATCATTTTCCCCTTCCCTCCCAAGCCCCTCCCTTGCCTCAAGTTCTAAGATTCCATGTTTACATGCGTACATTGAATATGAGGAATGCGTTCTTCCCCCTTCCTCTCTCCTGTCCCAACCTGCAGGACTTCAGCGAGGGCAATGAACCTAAGCGAGAAGGAATGAAGGGACAAGAGACATGAAGAATGACAGCAAGACAAGGATTCTGATCAAGCTGCCATTTTTTATTTTTCACACAGGGGTATTTATATGCTTGGAATAAGGAAGCTTTTTCATTGGCCGAAGCAGCTGTAGGATGTTTGCTTAGGGCAAGGTGAAAAGGTCGGATTCTGTAAACTCAGCCTCAAGATGTTCCAGTGAGATAGTCAAGCCTATCATGTTGAGAGACTCCCTTTTGGCTCCCAACATCTCCCCCTTTCTTATTTAGAAAATTGACCATCAATTGGTCAATTTTAAGGGGGTGACAAAGGCTCTGTTCCTCTAAGGGCCCAGGGTTTTTCTCCTCGTCCTCACTCAGGGAGGGGAATTTTACAGGCCTTGGCATGTTTTTTGAGGAGACGGCTTGTGGGTATGCATGCCAACCGTCATGCACCAGAGCTTGCCACTCAGGGGTCTTGGGTTTTGGGATCTTGTGGATCCATCCCCCTGCAGTCTTACCTGCACCCTTGATTTGAGCATTTTTTCTTCCTCCCCCAAGTGGAGGGGCCTATAGTAGGAGGGGCGAACCTATCCCTTATGGCAAGGGCGCAATAGGTCTTGCCCGTTGAAGTGAAAGACCCTAGTATATGTTCTGCCACTAGGTCCCCCAGAGAACTTGCTGACCAACCTCCTTCCGCGAAACTATGTGGGTGGAAAAGCACCAGAGAAGGCGAGGCAGGATGTTGTGATTAAACCGTTAACCAGGAATGAGGAACAAAGGGTCTCTGAGTTAACAATTGAAAGGCAAGTACGGACATGTACAGACATGTTAGCCAACCCCACCCTGCCGTGGAAAGTCCCAACACCCCCTTGAGCGGACCTTGCCTAACCCACTCGCCTGACTCAAGCCCACCAATCCCTACCTTACACATAACCAAAATCAGCCAATCAACACCCTGTAACCCTGCTTCCAGCTGCCCCATAAAAGAGGGTGCTCTCAGCTGCCTCGGCGCGCAAGTCTCCCGGCAAGTCTCCCGTGTAACAGGTTCCCAGCCACCGACCCGAACCTTGTGGATCTCGAGGTCGTGTGAACCTGGGAGCCTGGGCATGCCCGAATAAACCTCTTGCTGATTGCATCCGCACAAGTGGTCTCGTTGTTCCTTGGGAGAGGGTCTCTCTAGATTGAAAGGCACCCCACCCTGTCGGGGGTCTTTCAGAAGGTCAGGAGTTATGAATGAGAAGGGTTTTCTAAATAAGGAAAAGGAAGGGGGGGTTCCCACTGGAACAAGCTCATGGCAAAACACTAATTAAAAGCCTGGGGTAAATCCTAGATCTCAATGCCTTGGTCTGCCATATCAAGGCGATGGTGATGAACCTGTATGGGCTTAGAAGCCAAGAGATTAATCTGTCATTTAATAAATTCAAACAGGAAGATCCACATCTGGAGTTCTAGCTGCATCTGTAAGAGAAAAGGCATCATCCTGGGGAGGGGGGGAGGTTCCTCTGGGTTGTGGTAAGCCATTCACCTGTTTTATCAAGCATTCTGGCAGCCACCTTGGGACTGCTTGTTCTTGATCTAAAAGACAAAGAGTGGCAGGGAGTGGTCTACCTGTAGCTTGGGAGGGCATTGCCCCTTGGCTTTGTTTGCCGAAGGGACATTCACATGCAAAGTGACCAGGTTGTTTACAACTAAAGCAAGTTTACAATTTAAGCAAGCCAGGGACTGAACTTTGAAATGCCTTGTAAAAGCAGTGCCTATGGCGAGCCCCAAGGCCTGAGTGGTCCCTACTCCAGCGCAAAGCCTGGCCAACTCAGAGAGGTCACCCTTGTTTTTATGTGGCTGGAGGACATCTTGACATGCAGGGTTAGCATTTTCAAAGGCAAGATGCTTAACAAAGGCACTTTCACTTTCACTTGGCCCAAGAAGCCTTTCTGCAGCCAAGTTAAGCCCAGAGACAGTCACTATAGGGTTCCTCTGGCCCCTGTCTAACCTTTGCCAGGGAAGTAGTAGCCGATCCCTTTTGAGGGAGACGCTTCCAAGCATAAAGGCCAGCATTTTGAATTTGTGCCAAAAGTCCAGTAGGAAAGCGTGCCTGTTTAGCATTGGTATCAAAGGGCCCATTGCCCAAAAGTTTAGTATAGGTCCAGGTTTTTGAAGATGTTTTAGCCAAATTTTTTTGTGCAGTCTCTCTACATTGTTCCTTAAAGTCCCCATTCTATAAAACAAAATCACCCCCACAAAATGTGGCGCGGGCCAGAAACTTCCAATCATTAGGGGTGAGCCAGTGTGCACTTTGGTTTTCTAACAAGGCTAACGTATAAGGGGCAGTTGGGCCATATTGGGCACATGCATTTTTAAGCTTTTCAACAAACCGGAGGCTAAGCCTCTTATACTCTTGTTGGCCTTTTCTCTGGGTGGGTTGTTCCTCTTCATCCCCAGTATCCTGTTCCTCATCCTCCTTTTCCTCCTCTACTGATTGGTCCTCCTCACCCTCTGAGGTCCTATCTGTCTGGCTCCGAGTTACTGGAAAGGCGAGGACTGATTGATGGTGTAATCTAACCTTAATTTTATTAGGCAGTTTTGGTGTATCGGCCGACGCCAGTGTGCGGAGTTCATAATCAAGGGACCGCAGTTCTTTTAAAAGTTGAAGGTGTTCTCGTCTATGTTGAAGGGACTCACGGAAAGGGCCCAGGTTAGGTAAAGGGGGGAGAGAAAAAACATCTGGATCTGGAGGGGCAGTGGGCCCTTGAAGGGCCGGGCTACAAAAGGAAGGGATTTTCAGTAAATTGACCAGCAGGCATATCTAATACAACGGATGGGCAAGCCGCGGGGGGCCGAGAGGCATGTTGGAGAACCTCCTCTCCCGTTTTTACAAGTTTTAAAATTCCACTATCAAATAGAGAACATTTTAAAATGTCATTAATCAAATTCCAATAGGAAAAGGCAGTAGCAGGAACCTTTTCTGAACCAAAGGTTTCATAATAATCTTTTAAACAATCTCCTACTCTTTGCCATCTTTTTGCATCTATGATTCCTTCAAAGGGGAACCAAGGACACAAGTCCTCTATGAATGAGAAAAATAATTCTAAATCCTTTTTCTTAACCCACGTTCCCTGTGTCTTGAGGGCCTCCTTGAGGTCTGACAGAAATAGATCATGTGATGATATTGCTTGTCCCATGGTGGGTCACTCACCTTGCGCCATCCCCACTCTCCTCCTGGGTCTGTCTCTCGGCAGGGTCTGTCGAGGCGATCTCGGACTGTACTTGGCCAAGTTTTCCTGGAGGACGGCGTTCCTTCCTTAGTCAGAGGCTCTTGCCCCATGTTGGGCGCCAGTTGTCCCGACCCGCAGGACGTCAGCGAGGGCAGTGAACCTAAATGAGAAGGAATGAAGGAACAAGAGACACGAAGAATGACAGCAAGACAAGGATTCTGATCAAGCTGCAAATTTTTATTTTTCACACAGGGGTATTTATATACTTGGAATAAGGAAGCTTTTTCATTGGCCATTAAGGAAGCTTTTTCATTGGCCGAAGCAGCTGTAGGATGTTTGCTTAGGGAAAGGTGAAAAGGTCGGATTATGTAAACTCAGCCTCAAGATGTTCCAGTGAGATAGTCAAGCCTATCATGTTGAGAGACTCCCTTTTGGCTCCCAACACTCTCCCTTCTTCTCTCCCTTAGCCCCTGGCATTCATTTCATTAAACTCTAAGTTAGTTATACAAAGGAGTTACAGCATTGGAATTCTCCCCTGAGTATACCACACTTCAGTCTGTTTGTTTCTGTACATAAGCATTTTACCCCATATATTTACATATGTGCTTATATTGTAGATCTAATTTCCACATATGAGAGAAAACATGTGCCGTTTGTGTCTGTAAGCCTGACTCACTTCATTTACCATAGTATTTTTCTAGGTCCTTCCACTACCCTAAATATAGCCTAACATTATTCTTCCTGATAGATGAGTAAAATTTTATTTTATATATATACCACATTTTCTGGATCCATTTGTCCATTGAAGGACTCCTAGGCTGATTCCCTAACTCAGCTATGGTAAACAGTGCAGCAGTGAACAAGTACATGTGTCTTTATTGTATCCTGAAATGCTTGAGAGTGGTATCATTTTATTACAGGGTTATTCTATGTTTGTCTAAAGAAAGTATTGTACTCTAAGTAGGAGAAAAATGAGGGAAGGGGTAACAAGTTTGATAAGAAACTTATTATCTTACTTATATAACTGTAACCCCTCTGTACATCACCTTGACAAAAAAAAAAATGTATTGAGTTGGGCACTGGTGGCTCACACCTGTAATCCTAGCTACTCAGAAGGCTGAGCTCTGAGGAGCACGGTTCAAAGCCAGCCCAGGCAGGAAAAGTCCATGAAAGTCTTAGCTCCAATAAACCACTTAGGAAACCCAAAGTGGTGCTGTGGCTCAAGTGGTAGAGCTTACCTTTAGCTGAAGAGCTGAGGGTCAGTGCCCAGGCCCAGAGTTTAAGCCTCCAGATCAACAACAAAAAAAGTATTGAACATAAAAAAGAAAGCATTGTAACACTCTATACACTGGTTCTGAAATGTACAGATACCATAGATATGAAAATCAAAGCAAAGATAGGGAAGAGATAAATTATATAACCTTTCTTTCTTACATTTAACTGATATAACATGATAGCAAATATACCTAGTCAGTAATAAGAATCTCTTCAGCAATCCACTCTAAAAACAATATAAAGCTGTATGCCTAAAATGTTAAAAATAAAATGAATTAAAATGTTAAAAATAAAAGGGAGAACATGGCGCAAAAGAAGCCAGATGTAAAATAATTCACACTGAATGACTACATTTATATAAAGCCCTCGAAGAGGAAATACTAAGTGATGGCAATAGAAAACGAGACAAGAGGATAATAACTGGAGAAGATGAAAATAACTAAAAAGAAAACAATGAAATGATTAGCTATGATTTCTCAAAAAGAATGGCTCCATCTATCCATCTAGATATAGCATCTATTATTTCTTTCTACCATTGTGTTTATAATTCAGGTTACAATGTATTTATTTCAGCAAAACATGCTTTGAACAAGGTAGAACATTTGCTGGTAGCTCATATCTGTAATCCTAGCTACTCAGGAGGCTGAAAGCTGAGGATTGTATTTTGAAGTGGGCTTGGGCAGAAGATAAGAGACTCATATCCAATTAACTTGCAAAATGCTGGATGTGGAGGTGTCACTCAAGTAGTAGAGCACCAGCTCTGAGTGAAAAAGCCAAGCAAGAGCTCGAGGCCCTGAGTTCAAGTCCCAGTACAGCCAAACAGAACAAAGCTTATTCCATGTGAAATAAGCAAACAGGTCATATTCATTACATTTTAGGGTGTACATAGAGATGTAAGGCACATGATGTGGTCAGTAGACACACTGTTTGTCTCTAGGAACTTTTATATAAATGAGAAGAGAGTAATATCAAAATCCTGGCCTTGTCAGGAAGCCAAAAAAAGAGACAAATATATTAAAATTACAAAGCAACTTTGTTATAGCTGTTGCCTGGATTCCACACATGGAATCCTCGCTGCTCAGAAGGTTAAGATCTGAGGATCCCAGTAAGAAGCCAGCCTGGGTGAAAGTCCACGAGACTCCTACGTCCAATTAGCCACCAAAATATACAAAGTGGAGGTGTGGCTCGAGTGATAGAGCACCAGCCTTGAGCACAAAAAGCAAAGTACAGCATCTAGGCCTTGAATTCAAGCCCCAGTACGACACACACAGACTAAAACAGGGACATGAATCACAATCATATTAATTTTATTAATAATATTAATTATTATAATATAATATGTTATATAGGATTAATTATTATCGATATAACATCAGTATTAATCATGAGCATTAATATTAATCAGTAGTATGCCCATTTCCAGCAGAAAAGTCTGGAAAGGTGATAGGCAGGGGTGCAGTTCAGCTATTGCCTCAAGAAAAAACTTGGCCAATTAGTTTCAAGAGACACAGCTGGCCCATGGCTTCCAGCTGTAATACGTGTTTGGCCATAATCATTTATTTTTCTCTCAGAGTCTCCCACTAAAGACTAAGCAGGGGACTGGCTGGGTTGTACCCAGGCCAGGCCACTTGTAACCTTTTGCAGGATTCCTTCACAAGCAATCTGTGCCTGGGCTTACTAAGTGGACTGAATCCTTCCCAGAGATATTCCCCAGTGTGATCTTTCCAGCATCAGATTTCAAATATTGCTTTCTGCCTTCATTGTTCCTG